ATAGCTACATCTGACGATGAAGAAATTAGAGCGAACGTTCGTTCTAGCCTTCGGTATATTCAGTGTAAAACCTTTGTTGTGAAGTTCTCGAGTTCAGCAATGTTGCACTTCGAGTTCCCGCAGGTCGGAATAGGCCATTTTGTGCAGCACTTTTAAAAGCAGCTACAAGTTGTGCTTCAATCGCCGAATCCAAAGTGGTTGGAGATGAAGTTCATTGCACTCTTCGCGATGACTCATTGCAGGGTGTTTACCAATTAGATGTTTAGTGGATGACCTCTGCAGCCGCTCCAGTGCAATTCTGTCATTCTTCCTCATATTGCCGTATATTATGCTGCAGTATTTGAGGATGGGGTGAATGAATAGCTTGAAAAGCTCAACTCTAGCACGAGTTGTGTGTATTTTGTTTGAAATATTGAACATAGACCGTCTGGCACGTGCTATTTTGTAATGGGCCTGTCCGGAGACATTGAAGATAGACGTGTACCTAATTCCAAGATATCGCGTGGAGGTCTGTGGAAGGACGCGTTCATTGATTAGGGTGCCAGTTCCTTCGCGGATTCAGCAGCCGTAATACATGGCGCTTGCTTTCTTAGCCGATAGGTTCATGACCCATGTGCAGTACCATAACTCAAGGAAATGTAAGTCATCTTGAATGAGCATTAATGTCCCGTGAAGCTCTTCACGCCGAAGCTTATAGATGATTTTGATATCGCTTGTAAATAATAATAGGGTATCGTGTTTTACGGATGTGGTGAAGTCATTGATGTAGAGCAAAAAGAGTAAGGGGCCGAGAACGCTCCCTTGAATGACTCCACTGGTGATTGAGCGTGGAGAAGAGTGCTTATCATCTAAAGTGACTAACTGACAACAATCACTCAGCTATGGTGATAGCCAACCTAGTAATGGGTCCCAGATCCCAAAATTCTTCAACTTTTGTAGCAGTCGCTTATACGTTACTCGGTCGAACTCTTGGTGTATGACATAGCCGGACTCGATTGATTCTGAAATGTGGTTAAGGTAATGCAGTTGACTGGTGGTGCACGGTCGCTTATTGAGTAAACCATGCTGCGAAGTATTGATCAGGCCGATAGAACCAACAAAGTTCATCATCTCCTTTCTGACCAGTTTTTCAAATCGCCGAGAGATTACCGGAGTGTGGTGCATTGGTCGGTAGATATCAGTCGTTTGTTTGAGACCTCATTTATGCCGAGGCACACTAAATGAGGTTTCCCGTCGGTCTGGAAAGTGGCTAGATTCCAGCGATAGAGTGAACATGCTCATCAGGAGCAATGGTATATCAGGTCCTCCTAGTTTAATGGTGGTTAGTGAAATGCCATCAGATCCCAGCTGGGAAGATGACCTGATTGAATTGATAACTTGATGCATACCGTTGAGCGAGATATCGCCTCTGCTTAAGAGGTTTGTTACTGTAAGCTCTGTGCACACAGGCACAGGGACAGCTTCGCGACTCATGGTATTGGCAAGAAAGTCACTGAAAGCTTCACGCATTTCAGCTGGATCATGGAGCAAGTGACCCTCGTCATCAACAAGTTAGGTAATCAGAGGAGGAAGGTCATTGGTTCTACGATGCAGTATTTTTACAAGCTCCTTAGCTTTGCAGCTTGTCCGTTGGGCTATATGTTCTTCATTTTTTCGTCGTGTTTATTGCACATGTTTGAATATGGTGGTAAATTCGTGTATTTGTAAGATAAGTGAAAAGTCATGGGTCTTACTGATTTTTGCATCTAACTTTCTGGTTTACTTGCTGATTAATTGCTCGACAGAATCTTTGGAGACATGAGGGGTATGAGCATATTGTGAAGCCATGAGGGCTATAGCGTTATGGATTTGTTTATAGAACTGCTCCACAGCGATGTACACATTGGTAGAGAGGAAACATGCATCCCAGTCGGAGAAACGAATCAACTGCTGAAAGCATTCCCAGTTTATCTTATGGGTTGCAACTGGCGTTGTAGAGACGAGTTTAGTGATCATTTTCATTTGGAAACTGAGTCGGATCATTTTACGGTCGCTGTCAGGGAGATTGTTTAAGATCTCGGTCTGTGGATTGAGTATCCTCAGTGTGAATATTAAGTCCAGTACATTGACGGACCTGGTTGGACTGGTAATCCATTGTGTCCAGCCCCTAGCTCTGATGGAAGAGAGAAAAGAGGCGTGCAAGGTAGACGTTGGGTGGGATGACTAGCGTATTTTCGGTAGGTTGAAATCGCCGGCAATAATCTTTTAGCTGTATGGCAACTCAGATGCGAAGTCAAATGCAGAAGTGATGTTGGTGATACTCACGTTAGACGCATTCGGTGGGTTGTAGATACATGCGAGCAGTGTGTAAGATGAGACACCCGCAACTGACAGCCAAATAAATTCAGGGATATTTTCCAATTGTGACTGGTTTATAGGTTTAGCTGTAAATGTTTTGCGCAGATAAATAATACACACCCACCTTTTCTGTCGTAGCGATCTTTTCGAAATAGATGGTGGTTTGGAATCATCAGAGTAGAGTCAAGCGTATCTGAAGAACACCATGTTTCAGTGTCGCAGATCGCTTATGGTTCATTGAAATATGCGTGTTTATAAAATGAATTTTGCTGATTATGGACCTGGTATTAATCAGAATCACTGAAAATGTACTAAGTATTGAGGAAGTATTGCTGTCTGTTGTGTGATCATCTGAACCATTGCGTTCTAGCATGGTGCACATGGTGGGTAAGTGCGAGTATGGTGGGTCCGAGTTAGCCATTAGAACGTTTGTGGATAAGGGTAGCATGTCATGTGTGGATATCGAGATGGTTGGGGGCACGATGGGAACCGAAGCATCATGTTTAAGTTGCCGTTGGTTTGGCAATGGACTAACGTTGTCATCTGGACCAATTAGAGGAAGAGTGGGATCAAGATGCTGACCTCCGCGGGATGTATCTGAGATGGGCATGGGTGGGAGTCCATTTCGGTCGCCGTTAAAAATTTGTTGTTGGAAGAAGACGCTTGAGCGGTTGAAAGAAAATGGAAAGAAGCGGGTGGTAACATAGTCCTACTGGCCGATGTGCCTCCATTATCTGTGCACTTCCAGTGATTGTTGCGGAGTGTAGGATGATAAAGAGGCGTAGCCAAGTACAGTTGTTATTGGTCTTATTCAACATTAAAGGTTATTTGTCCCGGTGGTTGTAGGAGGTTGGTCGATAGGGAATTTTTGGTGCGACCGGGTAATTAGTATCCACACGCTTTTTAAGGACACAGGTTCCTGGATTAGAGAATTCGTCCTTAGAGGACAATGGACTATGAATTACATCAGGTTGTCTATCCTTGGACGTGTCTTGTTGGTTTGGACCGGAGTGTGATATATTCAACGAGTTGTCATTACTCCACTGTTCCCAGCACTTAGACTTTCCCTTAATCTTTAGGCATGAGTAGTTCAATAAGATGGGAGTGCTGTGATCAGGAATAGGAGAACCTGCTTTATCCGTTCCTTGTGTAGATGGTGTTTCAGTGTAGCAAGAAAGAACGGCTTTAGAGTTAGTTGACAACGCTGGTAAGTTATCTAGATGTAAATCAATGCATCTAGTACCCAACTTGGATGCACTCTTCTTTTGGACGTTTGACTGAGATTTATGGAAGAGCCTAGTTATTTTTTCCGCTGTTCGCGGCACATTGCCAAGTTCAGACCATTGTAGGGGTGACCGATCTAGTTTAGTCAAAACGCCATTACAATGGGTACACTAGCCTAGGATAGGTCCACAATGGAGGAATCGCTGCGAGATTTTCTCGCTCAAAAATTTGAAAATAATTGGAGAACAATGTTTTGCTGTCTTCTTTTTTAAACCTTGGCACCTGCAGTCAACGCTAAACATGTTCCAAGCTTTCAGTATCGTTAGGTTTAGTTTATCCAGACCCAACCTGTCCGGAACATTAAAAACAATCACCTTTTTGATCAACATTTTCGTTCGTGCACTTCAGAGACAACAGAGACAAGTAACTGCCTTGTTTTTCGCATTCGAACAGGACCAGTCTTCTCCAATGGGTTATTGATGTAGTCAAGCGTAATTAGGTGATCTTTGAAGGGTTCAAAGAGTGCCAGGATATTTCTCATCTCATTAAATTATGATTCCAAATAGTGCAATTTATCACTTAGTGCTACGATTAGGTTACCTTTAGCAGAGGAACAGATTCTCTTTTCTTTTAGGGCCTCCCATTTTACTCGCTGTGCTGGTGGCGTGGAAAGTACACTACACTTTGCTTGCCAAATGCGACAAGACTTCGGTGAGGCCATTGCGATCGAAGCTTGTCAGTGTTCAGACGCAGACGCCAAGGTAAGATAATGCAAGGAAAACCAAGTTTGTGTGATTTCCGGCAGTTGGGGTTTGATGGGTGGGTTAGATTCCACGGCTACGTTTCTCGATAATATCCACTGTCCAGCGAACGTGTCCCGACATGCAACCGTTAGTTATGGAGGCAGTTATAGCATGAATATGATGAGCATAATCCGTAAGCTAACTATACGTATGCTTTTTTCATATTTTACAGTATCATGACGTCTATAGATGGTACACCAGTTTTGCGTCCTACGCGCTGTGTTCTGGTGCTGGAAACTAACCATAAAGTTTACCACAAGGCCCTGTTTTTATCTATTATTTACAGCCGTAGCAACCTGAGCACATGATGAATTTAGACCGCATAATCCGCTGTGTAGTTAAGTTCGCGGCAACGGAGTTTCCCTGTGGAAATGTAAATTGCCTCTAAGGGAACTCAAGGAAATTGTTAAATCGCACACAGCTACATAAATCCCTTTGATCAAAATCCTTAGACACTTCGCAGTATGCATTTCTCACTGAGAAACGTGCGTGGGTGAGTGCGGCTGCTTCCCAACCCATCAATTTCAGCCTTTCTATCTTTCGCCGGATTGGTCCACTGAATGTATGTGTGAGCGTCGTTCAGCGATAGGTCAAATAAATGCTTCCAAAGTAAGGAAACTATGGGTGTTTACACAGCAGCATCGGAAACCAAACGTTCACAGCCATTTCACTGTCAATTGCCCAAATTTGTCTCAAATGGCTAGTGGAACCCAAACGGCTGATACTGAGGAGACATCGGAGAGTTTTAGTGTTCGAACCATCACACTGCATATGCAGAGTAAGCTACTGGATTCGTTACCTCAAGGAATATTGCGCTTTTTTCTCGACGATGCCTCTGTCAGGTTGTTTGACAACATATGCAAGGTGCTCCAAATTTATTCGGGATGTCATAAAACCGCCGTTTTGTACACCAAACGAGTGGTAAAAATGAACATTCGGTTGACCATCTACTCCTCCTCAGACGCTCTTACAGATGAGGAATCATCTTTGGTCTACGACTTCCATGAACAAAGCCATCTGACGGCGGAACTCGTGCTTCGTCTTGGAAGACCAAAGCGTTGCTTGCTACCCGGAGTAAAACCTAGCATCGAAAAATTGCATCAGACCGTGAACACAGTCAGTGATTTGCTCACTGGTATAATGAAGCGACACGTGAAAGCTACAACCATGGAAAAATTTCAAGAAAGTGCGGATTATTTCGGAAATGTGTCATTTTTGGTGGCCATATTCAGAGAAGAAAAGTACAGACAAACATTGGACATGATATGTGATGACATTGAAGATTTGATGGACCGAGGATTGTTATAGTTTTAAGGCACGCTTTTGTTACTTGCGCTTCTACTATACGCTGGCGTGTAAAGCAATGCTTTCGAAGACGTCTTTTACTCAAAGTTTATGAGGTTCGAACAGCTTTATGTTTGCTTACAGTTCAGCTTAACTCTTTCACAGTAAGAAACGGTTGTCACAAACGCTTTACTTCAGGAATACGGTTATCACAGAGGCAACTTCAAGAGGACGTGATAAAATAACTTTTTAATGCTTTGAATGTAGATACTATGATTATATAAAAGCCCGTTTAAAAGTAACATTTGTATTATCAACATCTCCATTAAAAGATATAGATGGTTTTACTTTTACTTATCCGTTCGCGGACCAACTTACGTTCATTTGCAAAGTAGATGTGAAAATTCCATTGGTTTCACGTCATTGTGACCTGTTAACTGATGGTAGCTGGTCCACCAATGCGTTTCTACAGTCTATTGTAATCTGCGAATTTCAACCTCAGTCCGGTCGGAAAACGACTGCGGGCACAGTTTTGGTCATGTAACGATCTCAGTATCATTGATGCTAGACTGCATGTTTTTTCTGGTGAGTGGTGGGAGCGAAAGTCCAGCAGTTTCCCCGGGGAACTCTTTGAGTGTACTTCGTTTATTCCTAAATCCATGACTGCTATTATCAATTCAATCTTCAGTACCCGTCTCCCTATTCAGATAATCCCAACCATAACATACAAAAGCTGTTTCTTATGCATAAGCGTAGTGGATTTTAGCCAAAAAAGTGTTGTGTTTCGGTTAAAGCTTTATCACATAAGGAAATAAGATGGAGTCCATTGCAGATAGTCGACCAGCGCTATCACCCACGGGATGTCACTTCACTCTTCTTCGTATATATGAATTGGGCAGAAATCCGGCCAACAACTAGTGCAAAAGCCAGGAACATGACTGACAAGCTCAGGAGATCATTACATAATAAAAACGGATAGTTCCCGCGATCATCAAGTTTGGCTAGCACAAAGCTGTGCAAATAATAGTTTGCCGTATCAGTGAAATCTATTATCAAGCGCATTACAGTTTTGTACTGCGGTAAGTAAGAAGTGCTTAGCTTTGTCTCATATACATCTTAGTTTGTTTGGGATAAACATGGTGAAGTCAAACGCCTTTTAAAAAACTTTGTACATCAAAGAATAACGAGCGTTTCTGGAAGGTAGTTGTTACCTTGTCCCTAGAGCGGTTTTACTTGAGTCGGTTAACAGCAACTCATAATAATAATCCTGGGGTTTGCAGCACTATTACCTACAGACATAAATGCTTCCAAGAAAGATTCTTGGATAGGAAGCTTCTGATCCAAGTGGATATGCATCACAAACTTTCTCCAGTCCCTCAGATCTGTTGGGGCAGCTGCCACACGAATACTTTGAGTCGGGGTAATCCGTGTCCACGTTTGTTGCCCTGAATTGTAGAATCATATATTTATAATCGACTTTACTAAATCAATTCTGAGATTAGGTAGCTACCGGCTATTACCATGGACGTCTCTCTAGCTCGTCTCATATTCAGCGAATCAACCTTGCTAGCAACAAGTTGGTGACTTGACACACTTCAAGACACGGTGAACAGGAGGCATCTATACGACTTATATAGATTCGCGTATGCGTCTGGTGCTTCCGCTAGCCAACAGTTTAACGTGTTATAAGTGGTCAGCTTTAAATAAGTCGAGGTGGCGAACTGAGATTTGGTACTATACTGTTGCATCGTCTTGCACCACAGAGTATTCCTGGAGAGAACCGCGGATGCGCTCTACGACCTCCTTTCTACTAATGCTGACAGTTCACCGTAACTGACATATTTGGAGTGAACATTCTCGTTTCTTCTACCAGTTATGTAATCGCCTTGAAAAACGTACAGTGCAAACATCGGATACCATAAAGTCTTAGTTGTATTTAAGGTCCAGAAAGCTCAAACAGGCACGTTTCGGTGATTTTATGTAGTAAAGATTTTGGAGTTCAAAACAATGCTCAAGGCACTAATATCGACAAGTTCCTTTAAAACGCGGGCCCGAGGCGGATAGGGCAGAGCTTAACTTTGGTGCAATCGACTGACCAAACAACTTCCGAAGGGAAAACTAATGCTGTTACAAAACGCTGGTGAATCTGCAGAGTTTAGTAGTTCCATGAGATGGGTGGAAACTCCTGTATGATCTAGAGGAGAAAAAGCAGTTTCGATGATTCGGCCTAAATCACATATTCCGACAATACTACTACGGGATCCCTTCTAACCGGGGTTGGTATACAACTGGAAGCAGCAACTGCTTGTTGTAATCCTCGCGTACTCGACAGCTTAATCATCTTTCATGCTTGACTTCTTAGAGACATACATCCTGAAGACGGTTTCACCGGTGGAGGTATTACTTTACCTGAAATTCTGGCTAAATCTGCATTTGGTACTGTTCCGAGTTTCTTACTCTCTAATACTATCAATCTGCCATTCACTTCGGAAACCCATTTGGGACCCGTTGTATAAAACATGAACAATCAACTATTTTATGCCTTCTCGACGTACAAATGGATCAGTCCACCCAGTTGGATTGTGCTTCGCATCATCGAGGAATATAACACTTATTTATTATTTATTTATGAATAAAACAATTTCTCAGATAAGTGTGTCCATGGTGCGTAATCCTTAGAATAGTCATGTTCCTTCGTAAGCAACTTCGAGCACGATTAATCCAACCGGCGCTCACGCTCCAAATTGCGTGCTGTTTGCGTTGGTGGCCAATTCCAAACCAACTAATAAATTGTGTCATGTAGTACCAGCGTGGCTTCGATCCCTGACTCCTGGACATCTTTGCATCCGCGCAGAACGAACGCGCTTCGGCAATACTGGCCGCGCTCGACACTCAGCAATGAAGCCACATCCGTCGCAAAACGCACTTGGTTTATCTGGTCCTGGCGGCTGCTGCGCACGCTGTATATACTTTTCGGCCATCATCCTGTTTATGTGAGGTTAGCAATGCGCTCAATGTGCGTTTTACGTTGGGTCGGTCATGGCGGTCTGCAATCAAATGGTGGGGACACGCGCGTGACGCACGGCACTGCTGAAACAGGGACCAGGTGGTGAAGTGCTCTGGATCCCTAAACCCTAAATGCTGGTTCTTATATTTAATAGCGTACAGGGGACACAGGTATGAACGCTAGCATCCACAGTGCGAGTGGACGTGAGGTGATGACTGATTGCCAGTACACGACTTAAGTCGCGTATGAAGTGGTGCCCACTGCTTGCACTCTATGAAGCTGAGTGAATTCTGAGCTCACGCATTATGATCGGAATTCAGTGAACGCTGTTGCTGTTCTAGTAGTAGCGGTAGCAGCGTACAAACACCGCGACCTGAGTCGACAATATAAAGTGGGCAAACATTATGTCGAGTAGCAAGTTTCCACTGGACACTCCGACTGTCTTCAGTCGTTGCTGTTGCGAAAGGTGGTGCAAACCCCGGACATTTTTCGTTGATTGACATTACAGGGTATTGCGCACTGTGAGATAACGCTTTAGCCAAGTTTGCCAACCTGGATTGCGTATTCGACGTGGGGAAGCACGTAAGCATTGAGTATCAGAGTAGCTAGAGGAATCCAAACTCCCGAATGCCCTCCGCAAGAGATTAACATGCTGGTCATTTCTTTGGAAGCGGACTCTGACGATTGGGAACAACCGAGGTCGTCCAGTACCAGCACACCGACGTCACGTGCTTGAGAGCTTTTCTGCAGATCGTTCGCCGTAAGGTTGTGGATGTAGGAGTGTCAATGCGGATGTGAACAACGCAGCACTTGTCCACATTGAATAGTAGTGCCCTCCTCACTGACCAATGGCAGGCCTCATCGAGGTCGCACTGGAGGACTTCAAGGTCGTCCTAATCCCTTGATCACTCGCAAAACCTTAACACGGTCCATGAAAAGTAAAATTGTGATAAAACTCGTTAGGTCCTTAATGAAAATTAAGAACAGGCGAAGCTGTAGTACAGAACTCTGCGGTACACCGCAATCCGCTCGAATTGGATCGGACAGTAATGTTCAGACTCTAGCCTGTAGTCGTCGTTTGCAGAGAAAGTTACCGATTCACTCCTATATTGGATCTCTGGTGTCGTAGCGCTGAAGTTTGTGAAGCAGTACTCGATGGTCCAAGTGATCGAACGCTTTAGAGAATTACACGTACATAACATCGGTTTCTGTCCCTTCAGTCCAATTGTCACATGCTATAAGAAGATACGTGATGCATTATCGTTATAGACTAAGCCCGTGGTACTCCGACAGAATGACGCTGTAGCTTTCCCGGCAGCTCACCAGCAGGTTTACGATGATCATTTCCATGACCTTGGCGAGCACAGTGCTACCAGGCGGTAATTGGCGAGATCAGATCGACTTCCCCCTATGTGGAATGAGTGGATGATACTCCGTTGACACTGACAGAACTATCTTCTTGTCTAGACACCACTAAAATAAACCAACTAGTGGTTCGGGTAGGTGCACGGCTGCTACCTACAGTGTGTTGAGAGGAATGTTATCTGCTCCAAGGGAGCTGTGCGTACGCACCGTTCGTGCAGTGAATGTGACGCTGAATAAAACAGATGGTGGAGTGACAGAATCAGGAATAGCGTCATAGGCTTGTACCAATAGGAAAGTAGGTGAGTACTGGGCCCGTAACGCGCTAACTGCTTCTCTCACTGCATTTGTATAGCCATCAACCCCGCCGAGTGGCCGGATTCCCCGCTGCACCTTACGAAGTCTATTCATGGGTTCATGAGGAAATTTGTAGTCCGAACAGAGTAGTTTCGCGAACTTCTGCTGGTGTGTTACGTTGCTTCAAGAACCATCTGAGCAGAATACATCCGTTGAGTTATGTGCGCTGCCCAATGGCTGAGGTAGGATTGTTTTAAACACGCCATGTCCCATCCTACATGCCTATTAGTTTCGAGTTCAGTCTCCCAAAGACGTATCTTTTAATGGAAGGATGCAAAGCATTTTGTTTTGGTGTTTTTGTAAATAATGACATGATCGTCTATATGAATGTTTCTCAGATCATCTCTGGACAGCACACGGACATTAAGGCCAAAATAGCGTGTTCAAAGAATGCGGACAATAAGTGTACTGCGCAATGGAGTGCATCCTAGCTGGTTTTTGTTGCGTAGATGTCGAATGTTCACGCACACAGGACCGCAGGTAGAACGCGAAAACAAGCGAAAACAAGTTAGTGTACAACAGGGGGTGAAGTAAAGCTACTAAAACACGAACCCACCAAGA